GAGACGCGTCATTCCAGTGGAGTTGGAAGAAGACGAGGACGCGTTGAAGAGCAGAATCTATCTTAGGCAAGCTAGAACAAAAATGAAGGTTTAGATAAGTTTCTTTATCGCTCACCATCAACATTTTCTTCCCAGCAATGACGCCGCCAATTGTCAAAATTTGCTTTTGCTCATCCAAGGAAGTGGCGTCGTGCGTCCTGGACAATGGGCGCGACAAGGTTTTTGATTTTGAAATTACGATACAATCTGAGCGTAATAATATCATCTAACTGTATTATCTAAATTCTTGCTCGACAGTAATAATAAATGACTCCCTCGAGGTTATTACCACACCTTTCCCTGTTCTCTGCCTTCAGTTTTATTTCACAGTTCTTTTCATTGATTTTGGGCTTCATTGTACAATCCCACGATTTTCAGCTCGGAACCATGTATCCATACATTCAAAAAGCACAAGAGTTGAATTGGGGCATCGTAATATTTAATCCCAATGAGAATTATGGAAGAATTATTAGAGACGGCAAGGTGAGTTTGTTAAATTCGTGATTTTACGTGTTAGGGCAGTTTCCTGTCAAATTTTGCAATACGATCAGTAATGACCCTGAATTACCACCACACACACTTTAAGCTTGTTTCCCGTGGGTCAATCAAAGGTTCAGAATCATCGGATAACCATTGCTTATACGTATGGAAAAATTTCGTCAAGTAGGGAAACATATGAATATTTTGGAACGTGGGAGAACTGTATTCCTGAGTTGATTAATACCTAATTTCTTAAATAGAAACTCCAAAGCTGAAAAAATTATGATCGTGGCCCATAGCTATGGCGGTATCAACACTACTTATCTATTGAGTAAATTGGGTAAAGTGATGATGAACTTGATCATCATTAACACGCAGGCCAACGAAAAAATTCCTTAATATCTTTTGTTTCATTAACAGCCGACGAATTCAGATCACGTGTTGTTGCCATAGCGCTCACTGACAGTGTACACAGTGCCTCCATGATTCCTACGCAATTAAGAGATTGGTTTGTGGGTCACTCGCTCAATTGGATCAGATCGTCTTTGCCTCTCAGTAACCATATAGCGGAAGCAAAGAGGTTCTATGGATGTCGTTGTGTTTCAGCTGGTAAGATTTTATAAATTTGTTGACTCTATTATGGCTTCCCATGTGCTTACAGTTGGTTGACAATTGAAAGGTCATCCGAAACATGAATACACCTCTGGCACGGCCTTTGAACACGTTTTTGAATTCTTAATACATCGTCTAGAGAAGAGCTATAATAATAAAAAAAAAGATCAGGACACCAGCAAAGATTCCAATCAAAATGATATGGAAATAGATAAGGAAAATGATAAAGAAAGCATAAAACAAGACACCGGTGGAACATGTAGTGTTTCAACATCAACAGATGCGCCCACTGAGATGGAAATAGATGATGATGACAGTGCTGACACCAAAAATAATGACAAACCAGTGGAAAATGAGAAAGATGATCGCGAGGCGATAAATGATAATTCAACAGATCTTAGTAAAGCTATAGTAGTAGCTCCCGATACTGCGAATGACATTTCTGATCCAAGTGATGGTAAAGTATTAACCGAAGGCAACAAACTGGATCCTGAGGCAACAAAGGATACTTCGACATTCGCAAACCTTAACAGTGAAAATATTGATTCAACGGAAAATTCCACGATGGAAAATGAGGTTTCAACATCCGTAGATTCCGCGATGGAAAATGTGGTTTCAACATCTGTAGATTCCGCGATGGAAAATGTGGTTTCAACATCCGTAGATTCCACGATGGAAAATGAGGTTTCAACATCCGTAGATTCCACGATGGAAAATGAGGTTTCAACATCCGTAGATTCCGCGATGGAAAATGAGGTTTCAACATCCGTAGATTCTGCGATGGAAAATGAGGTTTCAACATCCGCAGATTCCTCTATTGAAAATGTAGTAGATTCTGACCAAGTCTCGATTGTTAGTAAGTCCTTAAATTCTGAATTAGAAGGTACCCAACTCTCTCCTGAAATTCCCGATGGCAACAATCAACAAGATTCAAACGTTATAAAGGTTGAGAGTTCACATGAACAAAGTCAAAATGATAATACCGAAATCCTCCAACATTTAAATGATGATCAGAATACTAAAGTCGATACGAACGAGATGGATACTGACAGCGGGCATATCCAAGGAAAAGAACTGTCATCTACCGCTGACCAAGAAATCAATCAATCCGAGGAAGAAGGCATTTCCAATCCCTCGAAAGAATCGAATTGAGAAATATTTTTACGTCATTCCGTGATGTACACATTTATCCATAAACCTTTGTTGGTTGATTCCTGTTAAATTATTTCTTACATCAATTCCAAGTGAAAACATACATTTTAAATTTGGTGAAAATTATCCGTTCCTTTTTTTATTCATGTTTAAAAATAGTCCTCTAGTTATCCTATGCCATTTTCGATAACTCGTTTTAAATTTCTTTCCATATATATAATCTATCTATATGTCAAGGAATTTTATCAAACAATCTTTTCTCGTTAATAAATGTGAATGTTTTCAAATTTAAAGCAAGTTATAAATGAGTAATTGAGATGAGAGTCAAATTCACTTTACTCAACCCCTCCCCCGAGATCGAAGACCTAAACATATAACTGCAGCATGCTGCTGGGCCTCGACTTGGTCTGACAACTAGGACAAGGAACCTTCTTTTTTCCAGAAAATTCGGTGCTACACCTTCCACAAATTACGTGCCCACAACCCAATGCCCACAACTTCTCTTGAAGTACATCATTACATTTTGCGCAGATTAATATATGATTATCCGCTATGTTTCGTGTGTGGTTAATTAGATCCTTTGAAGGAATGTTATTGTTTTTACGAGGGACAGGTGGTGGTGTACTTAGAATTTGGACATCATT